TATTCTTCTTCCTGATAAGTGAACACATAAAAACACAATAAGTTCAAAACATTTGTAGTTAGTTAGAATTGACACAAATAACACAATCACACAAACTGAAACTGTAAAAGACTAAAAGAGTGCTCAGATAACTTTTTTTTCCATATCAAGTTAGGATTGGGGGCACACTACTCAATGAGTATGGCATAAACACCACACTTCAAAGGCAACATACCAAACCCAATTCTATATATTCAGAGAACATGGTGGAAGCATCATCATAGCACAATAATGAACATTTATACAGGTATAACTTATAAGTATAGTGAGTCAGAAGTCAGAAGTCACATTTAGACATTTAGTCAGTACTTATACTGATACCTGAGCTCAATGGCAGCAACATTTAAAATGTTACCTAGCCATGAGCACTTTCCAGTTTCCAGTTCCAACTTCCCAGCCTCACGAGAGACATTGATTTGAATCATTGATACACATACATGATACACTGATACAAAGGCATAAATTTATCATGAAATCAAATAAGTAAATAAGTAATCACAAATCAAATAAGTAAATAAGTAAACATACAACAATTGTAGGCATTCCAGTTCCAGTGTTGGATGTGCAGCACAACTCTGCAGTACAAAAACAAAATGGAAATTAAAACTTAAACAATCTCTACAGCAGGTGGAGGCAAAGGCTGCTGAGACTGAGGAGTAACAGTCTCTACAGCAGGTGCTTCCAACTCATGTTGTGTTCCAGATACACCAGTAACAGTCTCTACACCACTAACACTTTCCATCTAAAAAGGGGAAAGTATCAGTGACACAGAATGGGAAATCACTCATTCAAAATCATCAACAGAGAATGGCCTTTGTCACATACACACATGTATCAATTAAAGTGTTAAACAGGCAGAATTCAGTGAATTGAACATTTCATCATGTATGCAGAATTGCACATAAATGATTTAAGGGTCACATATCCATAAACTTACAATTTCACATTTTCACAGTTACAACTTACAACTAAGTAACTAACAACTTACAAATTACAATTTACAATGAAATCCATAATCAGGCATTCAAGCTAAGTAGGTGTATGCTACTTTATATGCTCATCATTTATATGGATTTCAGTCACACACTCCCACATTTATATGGATTTCAGTCACACACTCCCACATTTAGTAATTACTTCGTTTCTCAGATTTAATCCCTCGAGAACAAAGGGCTTCGAATCCACTATTCCACCGTTCCACAGTTCCACCAGACTCCGGTGACCGGACTAGGGTCTAGGGCTTCCACCGTTCCACCACTCTGCCAGTCGCTACTCCGAGTCTCCGAATAGGGCTTCCACCAGACTAACAAACAGAGACTAAGACTCTCGGAGTCTTAGAGAGTAAGACACTAAGAGTCTAAGACTCAAAGTCTCAAAGACCAGAGCGAAAGAGAGAACGAGAGTCGAGAGATGAGAGATGAGAGATTGAGAGAAGTCTAGAAGAGTCAAGAGTGAACTGAGAGCTCGGCTGCGCTCAATGAAATGAGTGATATATATACATACACCAAACGACATCGTATTATATAGCGGAAAAAAACCCTAGGGTTTAGTCGGGTAATCGGACGGGTTCGGGTGGCGTTTAATGCCTCCCACCCGAACCCCATGCATCCGTCTAATAGCGTAGCCTCGGTTCGGGTTGGGTATTCGGATATAGTTCGCGGCACGGATGCACCCGTCGGGTTTCGGGTCGGTCGGGTGGGTCGGAATTTTCGGGTTTTGCACACCCCTAATCACAAATAACTCTTCTCCACATCAATTTTAAGCTTTTTATGAATTATTTGTGGACCCACCATTTAACCCTCTATATTTTAATTATTTCTTTATCTATTTTATTTATAAAATTATAATTTTAATGAATTATGGAGTTGTGGAATTATGTCAACCGCAATATGCATACTGGAATTAAAAAGATAAAACAAAATAAAATAAAATGATAATTAAAATTAATTACTTAAAAATTAAACTACAACACGATTTAATATAAATTAATTACAAAGCGGTTAAAAATAAATTAAAGTACATAAAAATTAAAATACAAAGCGGTTAAATTAATTGCTGGTGTTGCTCCATATGATGCTCAACCAAAGAATTGAGAGAATAATAGGAATGAATGGAGGGTGAGATAAAATGTGAAGACATAAAGTGGTATTTATAGACACACATTTTACTCATTTAATTTTAATTTTAATTTTTTTGAAAAGAGTCGTTGCCAGTAACGGCCGGAAATGTGGCCGTTGCTCGGCCAGAATTCATTTAATTGAGCTGGCGGCCATTCTCAATCGCCCAGCCCGGCGCGTGGCGCACACACGCTTTTAGTTGCGTCTCACTGCATGCTTTTTTTTTTTTTTTTTAATTTTTTTTTATTCAATCTGACATTATTTCTTCATTTGCAGGAGGATACTTTTTGAATTATCCCATTCACACATCAGCTTTGCTTTTCACTTGAAAGAAATAATTTTGACATTAACTCTCAAATCTTCTCTATAGTGGATGCTCTAAATAGGTTTTCTCATTTAATTATATACATACATACATACATACATATATATATATATATATATATATATATATATATATATATATATATATATATATATATATATATATATATATATATATATAGGGTCCGGATCAGGTGATGACCTAATCTTAGGTGAGGACTAATCTAGACCATTAAATCAGAATGATGTATGGCTGAGATTAAAAGGAACAAATCACACGGATTAAGAAAACAAATTCCTTTAAAATATTAAAATATATAAATTTAGGGTAAATCAGTCTTATTAAAAGATGTGCATTCGTATACTGAGTGTTGTGCATTCATATACTGAGTGTTGTGCATCGATAACTTTATTGTTGTGCGTTCAAACCCCGTCAAAAAATCATGCAGTGGACATCCCAATGTCCTAAGATGCACTGAACTATGTGCTATAATGCACAACTCTCTAGCCTATAGTGCACAACTTACAACACTAGGTTGCACAATCAGCACACACGAATGCACAATCGTACTACCCAGGCATTTATACATATACACGAAAATTCAAATATAGACAATATTATACTCAAAAGAACGAGCGAAAAAAAATAAAAAATACTGATTAGTTTGCATGGGCGAACACTCAATCAATGATGAAGAAATCGCGGCTCCAAATTGCAACGGTGATGATCCAAGAAAATAGGAAACCAATTTGGCCAAGGATTACACATGCGTTCACACTTAAAAAATAAATAGAAAAAGAAACTACTACCCCACTTTAGCAAAACAAAGATCAATCCATGTCATCTCAAGAACTCAAATCTGGGCCATCCAAATAAAAAAACAAACGCACAAGATTAGTCCTCACGTCCTCACCTAAGATAAGGTCCTCACCTGATCCGGATCCTATATATATATATATATATATATATATATATATATATATATATATATATATATATATATATTTATATATATAAATAATACTTTACAAGGTTAACAATATCACCAAGTCCAATACTAATCAACGAACAAACGTGTAGGAAAAAAAAAATCTAGAAAGAAAAATCTTACGTTCACGCTCTAGTTAAGCAAATTTCGCTTATATTGACTACTGGCATTAAAAACTAAAGTCAAGATATGAAGTTTCTGAGCAGTAAGGCCATTCAAAGCAGCATATGGCTTAATAGCTAGGTAGCTACCATATACTATAACACCTCAAAGTTTCATTTTTAGAGGCTGATAGCCAACCTCCCTCTCTAATATATGGATCCCAAACTCATCTGTCCAGCCTTGTTTCTCTTCATCATCCTGTTAATCCAGACGCCTCATCTAACTTTCTGTGATGAGTTTAATAGCAGCAGTGTGTATGAGGCCTGCGCCCAGTCATTCAGTTGCGGCGATATTGATGATATAGGCTACCCTTTCTGGGGAGGGAGCCAGCCGGCCTACTGCGGCCACCCAAGTTTTGGGCTGACCTGCAGTGATGAGTCCTCCCCGGAAATTACAATCCTAGCGGTGAAATACAAAGTTTTAGGTATCAGCAGCCAGGCGGCCACTATTGTGAGATATGATCTATCAACCAATATTTGTCCTTCCAACCCTCAAAGGGCATCCTTGGACTTGAACCTCTTCAGCTACGCTCCCTCTGGTAACCAGAACATTACCCTGTTCTACGATTGCACCATCATAAACCCTGTTTCAGTTCCAATTCCTAAACTCTTAAACTGCAGTGAAGGGATTTCTGACTCAAATGAAAATGTCCTCTGGTCGCCCACTACAGGATTGCCATCTATCCCCGGTATCCCCAATGATATCTTCAGGTGCGGGACTGACATCTTTGTTACTGTCACTCAAGAAGCTTTTGACGCTTTAGTTAAGGCTTCCCTTAACGTTACGGAGGACCTCCTCAGAACGGCCGTGGGTGGTGGTTTTTCTGTGGATTGGAAAGCAAATAATAGCTTATGCCAGGACTGTACTGGGTCAGGGGGGCGATGCGGTTCCAGTGGCGATCCCATTTCAACACAATTTATTTGCAACATTGGTAATGCCTTCCCTTCCCTTTTCCTTCGTTATCTCCTTATTCTATCTTCAATAATAATGGTATGCTCTTCATTACAAAGTCTGATTCTCTGCTCTGCTCTTTTTTTTTTTTTTTTTTTTTTTTTTTTTTTTGTTGAATGCTATTGACTCTATTACAATGTAGTATCTGCTCTGCTCTTAATTACATGGTTCTTAATTCACTTGTGTTCTATAGGGAGTAGCACAATTATATATATCTGTTTTCCTGGCTTTCTTTTTCTTCTGCTCATATGGACTAACATGGCTTATTGCTAAATGCTTCCAGCTAACAGTAGCAGGAATAAAGCGCCTCTACTGGCAATAGGTATTGCTTTCTTTCCAGCCCGCACGTACCAACAATTCAACTGATTTGTGTTTTATTTGATTTTGAACAAATTCTACTTTCTTGTTCCATTTCCAGGTCTTGGCATAGCAGGTGCTGCGCTTGCTGGTGTTGGCATTGGATTGCTAATATTTAGACAAAAAAGAAAGTGGGTTGCAGCACAAGCACTAGATCATGAACAAGTGCTGCCTATTCAAAACATTGAAGCATTCGTAAGGACTAAGGGATTTCATGCTACCAAGCTGTATACTTATTCGGATATAAAGAAAATGACTAATTCATTCAATGACAAGATTGGAAAAGGAGGCTTTGGTAGTGTATACAGAGGAAAGTTACCTGATGGATGCCCAGTAGCTGTGAAGCTATTGAACAACACAAAGGGTAATGGAGAAGACTTCATCAATGAAGTTGCTAGCATTAGTCGAACCTCCCACGTGAACATAGTTACTCTTGTAGGGTTCTGTTATAAGAAGAAAAGAGCTTTGGTCTATGAATTCATGCCGAATGGATCATTAGACAAGTACATAGGCAACAAAGGGTTACAAAATATGAGTTGTCTCGAGTGGAAGACATTGTACCAGATTGCAATTGGCATTGCCCGAGGACTAGAATATCTGCATAGAGGGTGTAACACAAGAATCATGCACTTTGACATTAAACCTAACAACATTCTTTTGGACAAGGATTTCACCCCCAAAATCTCTGATTTCGGCCTGGCAAAACTGAGCAAGAAAAAGGAGAGCGTTGTATCTCTATCCATGTACGGTGCTAGAGGAACAATAGGATACATTGCTCCAGAAGTTGTCTTCAGAAGCATTGGAAGTGTTTCACACAAATCCGATGTTTACAGTTATGGCATGACGGTTATTGACATGGTGGGAGTAAGGGAGAACGTACATGCGGCTCAGACGAGTGACTTATATTTCCCAAATTGGATATATGAGCATCTGGAGCAAGGATTAGATTTCAGTCTTGAAGGCATCAGAGATGAGGAGGATAAAGAAATGGCAATGAAGATGATATTGGTTAGATTGTGGTGCATCCAGACGAATCCAGCAGACCGCCCTTCCATAACAAAAGTGGTAGAGATGTTGGAGGGAAGTATTGAGTCCTTGGAGATTCCACCTAAACCATTTTTCTGTCCTCCAACTGATGATTCACCTCAGCAGTCCCCTACATCATCAGTTACCACATAAATCTTATCTAAGGCAAAACAGGTCCATATTGTGTCCGTTGTGGATGGAGAGCAAAAGGAGAGTAAAAGGAAAGAAAACTTTTCATTATTGTCTCAGCAAGAAGAAGAAGCCTTCTTTTATATAGAGGAGGAAACCATAACTGCTAGCCTGCTAACTAACTGATCAGCTAACTAACTGAACAGTTTACACAATTGCTACAGTATTAACTACTTTAACTAACTGCATTATACACCTAAAAGCCCCCCTCAAGCTGGATTGTACAAGTCCAACAATCCAAGCTTGGAGATATAAGAATGGAAAGATTTTGGGCAGTGAGACTTGGTAAAAGGATCAGCCAACTGATTCTCTGAAGTGATGTGCAGCAACTTGATGATCCCATTGTTTAATTTCTCCCTTACCAAGTGGCAGTCTAGCTCAATGTGTTTAGTCCTCTCATGGAAGACTGGATTTTCGGCAATAGCAATAGCAGATTTACTGTCACAATATACAGCCACAGCTCCATTGTGATTAATACCCAAATCTGTCAGCAAGAAAAATAGCCACTGTATCTCACAAGTGGTGGCTGCTAAAGCCCTGTACTCAGCCTCTGAGGATGACTTTGAGATTGTGGGCTGCTTCTTGGACTTCCAAGAGATCAAAGCATTCCCTAAGAAAATACAGAAGCCTGTTACTGATCTTCTTGTGTCAATGCAAGCTCCCCAGTCAGAGTCAGAAAAAGCTTTCAATTGCAAGTTGGAGTCTGTTGGAAAGAAGAGCCCTTGGCCAGGGGCAGCTTTTATGTATCTTAACACTCTGTGGGCAGCCTGGAGATGTAAATGAGTGGGTTTGTCCAGATATTGAGATAATTGTTGTGTAGCAAACCCAATGTCAGGTCTAGTGACAGTTAGGTACAGGAGCTTGCCCACTATTCTTCTGTATTGTATGTTGTCCTCAAGAGGTTGGCCCTCATTTTTACTCAGCTTTTGTGAAAGAACTGTTGGACTATAAACAGGTTTTGAATTAATGAAACCTGTATCATCAAGCAACTCTAGAGCATACTTTCTTTGACAAACAGCAATGCCTTTTGTGTGTCTAGCCACCTCCAACCCAAGGAAATATTTCATAGGTCCCAAGTCTTTTATCTGAAACCTCTCATTGAGTTGTGTTTTAACTCCTTGAATAGATTCTAAGTCAGCACTTGCAACCACAATATCATCCACATAGACTAGTAGGGCCATGAAGAACTTACCCTGTCACTTTTGTGAATAAGGAGTTATCAGGCAAGGACTGTTTGAATCCCATATCTTGCAGTGCAACATTCAACTTGGTGTTCCATTGCCTGCTAGCCTGTTTCAATCCATATAAGGATTTGTTAAGTCTACAAACTTGTCTTCCTTTATTGGTTAGCAAACCAAGAGGTAACTGCATATATACTTCTTCTTCTAAATCACCATGAAGAAATGCATTGTTGACATCCATTTGGTGTAAGTGCCACTGTTTTGCTGCTGCTACTGCCAGAAGAGTCCTTATGGTTGTCATTTTTACCACTGGGCTGAAAGTATCTAAGTAATCAACCCCAAGAGTTTGATTGTAACCTTTTGCCACCAACCTTGCCTTATATCTTTCTATGGTTCCATCAGCCTTATGCTTAATCTTGTATACCCACTTGCACCCAATTGGCTTCTTGGAAGGAGGTAGGTCCACAAGATCCCAAGTGTTGTTTCTTTCCAGGGCATTAATCTCTTCTTGCATAGCTGTTTTCCAACACTCATGTTGGATGGCTTCTTGATAATTTCTGGGCTCAGAATGACATGAGATATTCATGACAAAGGATTGATGTGGTGGTTCTAATCTTCTGTAATCCAAGACTTTGGATAAGGGATGAGGAGAAGTTTTGACTGTTGTAGCTTGGCAGATATAATCCTGCAAATAGCTTGGGACCTGTTTCTGTCTTGTGGATCTCCTAGTGTTTTGTTGATTTAATCCTTCTGAGACAGGATGTATGTCTGTCATCTCATTACTGCTGCCATTGTGACTTACTGAAGAAGGAGAGAAGTCTTGGGCTTCATTACTGCTGCTGAGTTGGTTCTGAGTGTGCAAACCATCTATAGACTGCTCATGGCCTTCTTTGTTTGAGATGTCATTTGTGCTTCCATGAACAACTTCCAATTCTCCTTCATGAACTGTATCTGATTCCTCAAAGGGAACACTACTCATTTTGGGAAGGTTGATCTGAGATGGCTTTTCTGCTGAATTGTTGGGCTGTTGAAAAGGAAACACATGTTCATAGAAGACTACATCTCTGGAAATAAAGAGCTCCTTAGTCATAAGGTCATACATCTTGTAACCCTTAGTGCCACTAGCATAGCCAAGGAAGATACACTTTCTGGCTCTGGCATCCATCTTAGATTTAGGACCCACTGTTGTAGCATAAGCTAAGCATCCAAAAACCTTCAGATTTTTGTAGTCTGGTGTTTCTCTCATTAGAACATGATAGGGAATCTGATTGTTGATGGCAGCTGATGGCAACCTGTTGATTATGTGGGCTGCATGTAGAACACATTCACCCCACAAGTATTCAGGTAGATGGGCTTGAAATCTGAGGGCTCTAGCAACAGTCAGTAAATGGCCATGTTTCCTCTCCACCCTGCTGTTCTGCTGAGGGGTGTGAGTGCATGAAGTTTGATGCACAATACCTTTCTGCTTGTAGAAGTTATCCATACTGAACTCTAGCCCATTGTCAGACCTTATGCATTTAACCTTGGTCCCAAATTGATTCTCAACCAAGGCATAAAAGTTCATGACCAAGTTTCTCACTTCTGACTTCTGTCTCAACAAGTAGATCCAGACAGCCCTACTATGATCATCTAGTATGGTGAGGAAATAATGGTGATTATGGATAGTGGCTATTTTGTAAGGACCCCATACATCAACATGCAATAAATCAAAGCAATTAGCTGCCAAAGAATCACTAGACTGAAATGGGAGCCTCTTTTGTTTGGCAAAATGACAACAGTCACAGATCAAGCTTTTATTAACATGAATCAAGGGATATAATTCTTTCAACAAAAGTAACTTTCCATAAGAAGCATGCCCTAGTCTAGTGTGCCACAAAGTACAGTTTTCTGTGTTTGAACTATAGTTGCATACAACAGATGAAACAACAGGAAACACTAGATGATACAATCCATTTTGCAGCTCAGCCCTTCCAATCACTTTCCCATGGGAAACATCCTGTATTATACACTGATTAGAATATATCTTCATGCTGTACTTGGTATTCTTAATGAATGATCCTACTGAAATCAGGTTGTAATGGAATTCTGGGACATATAGCACATCATGCAGCACTAGATCACTAGACAGAAAGACTGAGCCAATAAAAGTAATAGGAGCCTGTTGTCCATTTGGCAAATTGACATGCAAGTTATGAATTCTCTTCTGATTACTTAACAATTCAAGGTCACAAGCAATGTGATGAGTAGCACCACTATCCACAATCCAACCAGTTTTGCTACAACTAACAGAATTAGTTGAAGGGGGCATACCTTCAGACTGTAGATTTGCTGATACAGTATTGGCCAAGGCTTGTGATGGTTGATCAAGAGGTGAATTCAGATTCTCAGCAGCTTGCTTCTTTGTTTGGATGAACTCTAGGAAGTTTTTGAAGTCATCTTGGGTAAAACTCATGTTTCTATCTGTGTTAGACTGCTGAATCCCTTGAACTTGGTTCACTGAGGCTTGGCTTCTTGACTTTGGTTTCCATCCAGGTGGATAACCATGCTTCTTGTAGCACTTATCATGGGTATGACCTGTGAACCCACAATAAGTGCAAACCGGCCTCTTAGTATTTCCCATAGCCTTCTTGAAACTTGCTTGGTAATTCCCATCTGTCTTAGCCAAGAACACATTCCCTGCTGATCCATTTTCCCCTGCTTGATGTAATTGGCTTTCAAACACTGTGTTTCCCATCTGAAACTATCTCTCTTGCTGAGCTATCATTGAGTAAGCTTCATTCACCTCTGGCATAGGTCTCATTAACATAATCTGATTCCTAGCCCCTGTGTATTTCTCATGCAGCCCAATCAAAAAAATGGATAGTTTATCCATTTCAAGCTGCTCATTGAGGTCATCAATCTTCTTACCACAATCACACTTAATAGGACAAGTGCAGTACATTGTAGGTCTGAGAATACTTAGTTCATCCCACATCAATTTCTGCTTAGTAAAATATTCATTCAGTGAGTTATCTCCCTGTTTGGTTTGGTAGATCTCACATTTAATCTCAGCAATTCTAAACAGATCTTGTTTGCTAAACCTTCGTTTTAGGTCATTCCAAATACCATAGGCTGTATCTATCCACAGCACACTCCTCCCAATCATTGGAGAAAGGGATCGAACTATCCAGGAGGCAACTATGTTGTTGCACCTTTCCCAAGCCATATACCTTTCTAGGTTATCTGTAGAAGGTTTCTTGATTGCTCCATTGATGAAGGCAATTTTATTCTTGCAAGATAGCGCCATAGTCATGGCTCTTGCCCAGGTGTGGTAATTGGATCCATCTAAGGGGAATGGAACCAATTCCAAGGCCGGATTCTCATTGACATGTAAATAGTAGGGATTTGATTGGTTCTGGGGATTGAACGGTACCTCAGAGGAGTTCGAGCCAGTAGCCGCTGTTGAGGAAGACGGAGCCGAGCTCGTACTCGCCGGATTTCCTGTTGCCGGGACTGGTATACCGGTGGTATTGTTGATCGGAATTGAGTGGTTTCCGATCGTAGGCCACACAGCCGCCATGGGAGAATGATCGAAAAATCAGTGTGTGAGCTCTGATACCATGTTGTGGATGGAGAGCAAAAGGAGAGTAAAAGGAAAGAGAACTTTTCATTATTGTCTCAGCAAGAAGAAGAAGCCTTCTTTTATACAGAGGAGGAAACCATAACTGCTAGCCTGCTAACTAACTGATCAGCTAACTAACTGAACAGTTTACACAATTGCTACAGTATTAACTACTTTAACTAACTGCATTATACACCTAAAAGTGTCAAATGAGGATTCTAAGTATGGGATGATATGATGACATAATCTCCACACACTACCAAATACTCTCTTTCCTGATGTTTTCCCCAAATCATTGCTTGAAATCATAATATTATATTGTTCAAATTAGCTTTCCTTTTTCAGTGAAGTAGCTTCGCTTCTAAGAAATGTGAAATCTTTCAGCTAACAAGACGTCCAAGGAGCGCTTACCGATATTTTCAACTATTATCTAAGTTTATCTTTTCGACTTTTAATACTTACTAACTTATTCAACAACAAGTTTTATTAAATACTATAATTTCAATTAGTTAACTTATTAACTACAAAAATTTTCATAGGTTTTGATTAGTTTTTCAAGTATGTGTGCCAAACAGAGCATATATGTACCCACACAGTATAACTATTGTCTCCGACACCTTAACATATTATTTAGATATGACCACGGTTTCGGTTTCGATTCCGCAAATGGTCAAACCAAAACCGGAACCTTATAGTAAAGTTCCGGTTCCGGTTGGAATCGCCGATTCTAACCGAATTTATTAAAAACATAATAATAAAAAAAACTTTAATTTTTTAATTTTTTTCGATTTGGAACCGAAATCGTCAATTCCGATTCCTTGTCATCTCAAACCTTAACCGGAACTAAATTGGTTCCGGTTAAAACCGGAACCGGAATCAAAACTATACGGACGGTTCAATTTCGATTCCGGTTCAATAGTGCATGGTTCGGTTCGAACCGAACCGTGGTCACCCCTAATATCATTCCTTGAGCTTCCCTACAAAGGGGGTCGATTGTTAATTTGTTATCCATCCTCGACTCTTGAGCTTCCCTGCAAAGGGGGTATAGTAGATGTATGACAAGGAATGTGTCCAAAAAATCAATACGAATAGTCTTACTAGGAAAAAAAAAACATTTTTATTATATAAAACTATGAATAGGTTAAAAGATCAACACTGTCTACTTAACAAACAAATTAATGTGTACCCCACAAAATATATAATATCCACATTTTGATTATGCAAATTTGGCCTACATTGACTAGCATTTACAACTACTTAAGTCAAGAAATGAAGTTTCTCATCAGTACAGTTAGGCCTTTCAAAGCAGCATATATAGCAGGTAGCTTAATTAGCTTCTATACAAGGCAAAGTTTCATGATCAGAAATCAGAACCTCAGCTCCCAAAGATATATGGATCATTCCAACTCCATCTGTCCAGCCTTGTTTGTGTTCATCATCTTGTTAATCCAAACGCCGGAAACTTTGTGTCAAAATAATGGCAGCAGTGGTGAGTATGAGGCCTGCGGTGAGCCATTCAACTGCGCCAATATTGAAAACGTAGGCTACCCTTTCTGGGGAGGGAGCCAGCCGGCCTACTGCGGCCATCCAAGCTTTGAGCTGGACTGCAGTAAAGACTTGCCGGAAATTACAATCCAATCGGTGAAATACAGAGTTGTTAATATCAGCAACCGAGCAGACACGGCCACTATTGCCAGAGATGATCTGACAAGCAATATTTGTCCCTCCAATCCTCGTAACGCATCCTTGGACTTCAACCTCTTCAGCTACGTTTCTTCTGGCGCCGACAAGAACATCTCCTTGTTCTACGGTTGCACCTCGGTTTCATTGGTTTCCAACCTCTTCAACTGTAACTCGACCGGAAATGGCCTCTGGTCGCGCAGTACAGGATTGCCCAGTAATAATAACATCAAGTGCGGGTTTGAGATCTTTGTTACTGTCACTCAAGAAGCTTTTGAGGCTTTGGGTAATGCTTCCCAGCTTGCTTCGGAGGAGCTCCTGAGAACATCCGTTGCTGGTGGTTTTGCTGTGGAGTGGAAAGCGAATAATAGCTTATGCGAGGAGTGTAGAAGCTCAGGGGGAAGATGCGGTTCCAATGCCAATCTCATTTCGACACAATTTGTTTGCTATTATGGTATACATTTGCTCCCTTTCCTTTTCCTTTTCCCTTTTCTATCGGTTATAGAAAATATGGTTAACTTTCCTACATACTAAAAACACTTGGAAAATTTTTCTTAAAATAACATTTAAAGTAGCTAGCTATTTTGTGCCTTTGTGGTATAAATTAAATTTTAGTTGGATCAACTTCTAATTTTTTTTTTTTTTTTGGATCACGAAGAAAACCCACAACCACTATTCGAGGGTAAGCATGGGGTAAACTCGCCCTGTGGCCCTAGCCAATAAAGAACCACAAGACCCATATGAGCTTAGTTCAGTGGTTTAGTATGTAGTATTTGGGAGAAGAGACCAAAGTTCGAACCTTAGCAGATCCCTTGTGCGCATCAGCATTTGGCATTGTCTACCGAGTCATTGAGTCACCGTGATTTACATCCTGCCAAATGTTTTGTCGGGCCAGGGTGTAGGGGGCCATTGAGGGGCAAATTATGCTGTGCATCCGTATGCACCAAGCATGGTGCATACGGATGCAAAAACGACGTCGTTTTTATAAAATGCGCGTCTCCCCTTAAAAAAAAAAAATTAGGTTCGAAACTATAATTCCATAATCGATGAACTATAATTCCATAATCGATGAACTATAATTCCATAATTGATGAACTAAAATTTTCAGAATGAATGAACTAAAATTCCAGAATCTATGAACTAAAATTTCAGAATCGATGAACTATAGTTCCATAATCGATGAACTATAATTCCATAATCCATGAACTAAAATTCCATAATGAATGAACAAAATAATGTTGTTACTAGGAATCGAACCTGAATTTTTTTTTTTTTAAAGGGGAGACGCGCGTTTTTAATAAAACGACGTCGTTTTTGCATGCACAGCATAACTATTCCCATTGAGGTGGGGATTCAACCTTTTGGGAGAAGCATAGTACCACATGCAAGTAAACCAGCCTAAGTTGCCTATAGTTGATCGGCTCAAACTAAAAGGGTTGTGATTCATTTAAACTCGTGACTTTGTGACAACAAGTTTGTATCCTTAGTCATATTGGTTATTAGAGTTATCCCTGGATCAACTTTTAATTTGGATCGGGTTAATGTGAACTCGAGTTCTTCTAATTGAGATGTTTAATTTTGATATATTATACACATATATGGAAAATGGTTGAATGATAAATTGATTCTCAAAGTGTACATATTTGAGTTAGAAAAATAGAATTGAGAATGCTAAGTAACTTTTGTCAAAAATGAATGTGGGCTTACATTATTATATATACAATTGCACTTTTTAATGATTTGAATTGTACAACATAAACTTCTGTCAGGCATCTTCCTTGACTACATATAGTCTTTTGAGGACCTGGACGCAAATAATGCCCAAATTATTTCTTTAATAATTTAGACTATATTCCTAATCTCAAGTAGCGATAATATTTATTTGTATTTTGATTCTTTTTCCATGTAGTGAAAGTGATCATTGTGCACATATATATTAGTCTAATCATGTAGCGTGAGGACATTTTGTTTGTGAAGACAAAAGGACAAACAAAATGCAAATTAAACACGCCAACTTTGAAGACCCAAAGCCTTCACTTATTTCAAATATCGCCAAGATTCCAAGGTACCTGATGGATTATATGAACCCGAGGGTCCGGATTATATATACAATCCGAATATATGTTCGAATATAATAAATAAATAATAAAATGATAAATATGGTATTAATTGAGTGTATAATGCTATTACAGAGGTTCGGAACGTGTAATAACGTTACAAGTATTGTATGAAGGTAGAAGATGCTTGAATAGGACACCGGGGGTGTTTTTATACCCCCGGCCGGACCGGGACCGGGTCACGCGGGAGGAGCCGCGGGACTCGCTCCATGTGAGGACCCAGTCCTTGGCCATGGGCTCGGCCGACCCCAGGGTGGTCGACCCCGCGTAGAACAACCCCGGGTGTGCCGTTTGAAAATAGGAAATGTGTTTCCTAGAAAATGAATTCTAAAAAAATGAATTATTTTTTGAAAAATATTTTCATTTGTTGGTGTTTGATTGAAAGTTAGAAAATAGTTTTTTTTTTTTTTTTGGATAAAAGTAAAAAAAACAAATATATTTTTCTGTTTGGTTATTTTTTTAAAAACATGACCATAAATTTATTATAAAATTATTTCTTATAAAATATTAATTATTTTAATGATGATAATAATAATTGTTACTATATTAAAATAAAAATATAAATAAAAAATTATAATAGTTTTAAAGATTAATAATAATTATTATTTTAAGTCAATGACATTGTGGTCTAATAGCATGAAGTGGTTCTTCCAAATGGGAGGTCATGGGTTCAAGTCCATGGGGAAAGGTGAGTAGTACTCAAAAAAAAATTATTATTATAAAATTGTGTAAATAAATACTTTTTAATTTTTAACTTATTATAATAAAATTAAATACTAAATTAATAAATATAATAATATTTTAGACAAAAGGAATTAAAGTTTTTTTTTTTGGCATACGGGCGGGCCTAACAAAGATTTTATTATTTTGTGTGACGTGATTTTTTTTTTTTTTTTGAAATGCTCATGATTATTTATAAGGTAATATTTGTTCTACATCTCCTTGGATGGGTAACTGGGATGTCATCACAGTATATGATCAATTACTGATAACTGTAATAATATTGCACTAAAAAAAATTGAAGAACAATCATTATTATTATTATTATTATTATTATTATTATTATTATTATTATTTGTGGGCTAGGCCAAGAGTTTTAAGGTTTAGTCCGACATAAGTTTAAACTAAATTAATTAAGGAAAAAAAGTAAATATTTTATAATGTTTTGTGCTAGGGGCCAGCCAAACGGATTCTTAAACATTGGAGGTGTTTGGCAAATGGATGATAGTTGATTCAGTTAATTGATAGCGAATTGAATTAGCTGGTTTGACCTGCTCATGTACTAGCTAGTTGTTAAATAGTGTATGGTAAAATAGTTGTTACTTTTAACTGATTGTATGTAAAATGACCTATAATGACATAGACATATTGTGCTAATTTATTAACTCTTAAATTACTTATTATTATTATTATTATTATTATTATTATTATTATTATTATTATTATTATAAGGATGAGTAAAAATTTAAAAAGAAATAAAAAAAACATTATTATTGTTGGTATTTATGCCTTGGGTAATTTACATGAAACCTAAACAGGGAAGGAAGAATTTAGAATATAAATATGATATTCATGAATACATACTTGTATTACAAAATGGCAAATATTACTTAAAAGATTTAAGGAAAAATAGTATCTTTGGTCTTTGAGTTATACATGCAGTGACGACTCAGTCTCTCAATTATGACTATATATTTGTTTTTAACCCCTTAGTTATGTGCAAAGTGACGTATTTGGTCATCGACGTCAAGGACTTGTCTCAACATGACAATTTTTTTTTTAAACCTTTAATATTGGACGGATAAAGTAAGAAATTTACATCTTATTCTCCTCCATATAAAATTATATTGAATCCAATTTTGCAACATTATTTTATACTTTTTAGTCTCCTATTTCAAGGTTCTTTATCTCCAAAAGCTTGAAATAGGAAGTTGAGAAGTGGAAAATAATGTTGTGAAATTGGTTTCAATATATGGAGAATAAACTGTGAATTTTCTATTTTACCCCGAGTTTTTTTGTTTTTGTTTTTGTTTTTTTTTTTTTTTGTTTTTGTCATGTTAAGAAGGATCTTTAATGGGGAATGCTACTTGGGTCATAAGTCATAACTGACATGGGTTAAAAATAGATTAGGTCATAACGGAAAGATTGAGTTGTAAAAGTATTTCTTATCCCTATATGGCTATATTTGTTTTCTCTTGCAATCTAAATCTTGCCTCTTGTGACCTTAGAAAGTCTAGTCCTTTGTTCTGCTCTACTCTTACTTGTTGGATTCTAATTCACTTGAGTTATATATAATATATATAGGATCAGTGGCAAAATTTTATTATTTATACCATCTGTTTTCGTGGCTATCTTTTCTCTCTTTGGTCATATGCACTTACAGGGCTTATCCCTAAATGCTTGCAGCTCGCAGTAGCAGCAATAGCAAAAGAAGGTCACTGGGCAAAGGTATTGCTTTATTTCTTTCCAACAATTCAACTGATTTGTGTTCGACTTCGCTTGCCTTTTGAACAAATTCTGCATTAATCTTGTTCAATTTCCAGTCCTCGGCATAGTGGGTGCTATTCTTGGTGGTATTGGCATTGGATGGTTAGTATGTAGACAAAAAGGAAAGTGGGTGGTTGCAGCACAAGAACAACAGCAGCAGGAAGAATTGCAGCCTGTCCAAAACATTGAAGCATTCATAAGGACTAATGGATTTCATGGTACCAAGCTATATACTTATTCGGATATCTTGAAAATGACCAATTCATTCAATGACAAAATAGGGGAAGGAGGTTTTGGTTGTGTATACCGAGGAAAGTTACCCGATGGGTACCCTGTAGCTGTGAAGCTATTGACAAACACAAAGGGTAATGGAGAAGATTTCATCAACGAAGTTGCTACCATTAGTCGAACTTCCCATGTGAACGTAGTTACTCTTGTAGGGTTCTGCTACCAGAAGAAACGAGCTTTGATCTACGAATTCATGCCTAATGGATCGTTAGACAAGTACATAGGCAACATGGAGTCGCCTAATAAGAATTGTGTGTTGGAGTGGAAGACATTGTACCAGATTGCAATTGGCATTGCTCGAGGGCTAGAGTATCTGCACCGAGGGTGCAACACAAGAATCATGCACTTCGACATTAAACCTAACAACATTCTTTTGGACAAGGATTTCGCCCCGAAAATTTCTGATTTCGGCCTGGCAAAACTGTGCAAGAAAAAGGAGAGCGTTGTATCTCTATCGGTGTACGGCGCTAGAGGAACCGTGGGATATATTGCTCCAGAAGTTTTCTTCAGAAGCATCGGAAGTGTGTCACACAAATCCGATGTTTATAGTTATGGCATGACG